TCTCCTCTTCTCCTGTTCTTACGTGTTACCCCCACTTTGGTTGATTTCAGCCGAGGAGAAAACCCTTTACGACTTGGGTCATCAAGGCCCATCACCCGACGCAATAAGCTTTCGTCTACCCTTTGTTATGTACTAATAGAGGTCGGGAGCACGACTTGCTCTCAGAGCAGAGGTTGCCCATCCCTGATTTAGAGAACATACTATGGGCAAAAGACACTGCAGGGTGCATGGATTATCCTGTGGGAGGGGTAGAAGATACAGCACCAAAGACAAAGGTTTATAATCAGGGAATAGAGAAACGATGGAGAATGACAAACGGTGGAAAAGTTGTAGAAATGATTGGACACATCCACTGTGATGTGTTTAATCAAGATAAATTTCTATTGAACGGTGTTGATGTGCGTTTGCGTCTAGTGCGGTCTAAAGATACATTCTGTTTGATTGATAGAACCAGTAAAAATTATAAAATAGCAATTACTGAAGCCTCTTTGATAGTGAGAAGAGCAAAATTAAGTCCTGGTGTTCTGCTTGCACATGCCAAGACTCTGGCTAAGACGACAGCAAAGTATCCATTGACGCGTGTGGAGGTGAAATCCTTTGTTCTTCATCGTGGGACAAGTGGAGATTCTATCGATAATGCTATTCTTGGACAATTACCAAAACGTGTTATTCTCGGCTTTGTTGATAATGTTTCATTCAATGGTGATAAGACTCGAAACCCTTATGACTTCAAAAATTGGGGAAATAATTTTCTAAGTCTGTACGTGGATGGCGTGCAAGTCCCAGGGCGTCCATTACAACCCAGTTTTGCCGGCGGCTCTCACATGGAGGCGGAAAGTTATAGCACGTTATTTAATGGGACTGGTATTCATTTTAGTGATCATGGAATAGACATTTCTCGATCGGATTATTCAAATGGTTACTGTCTTTTTGCGTTTGACCTAACTCCGGATTTATCAGCAAATTGTGCTACTCATTGGAATCTTGTGAAAACGGGTAGTCTCAGAATTGAGGTGCACTTTGATGAAGCAACGACAACAAATTTGAATTGTGTTCTATATGCTGAGTACGATAATATCTTGGAAATCGATTCCACGAGACAGATAATTGTCGATTACAATAGCTGAATTGTTTTGTCCTGGATTCACCGAAAGAAGGCAGCCATGAATGACTATGGCCCCAACCCAATACAAACAACATCCCCCCATTGTGGGGCAGAAATTGTAACCAAAATTATAAATATCGCAAATAATAAAACACATTTAATTGCTCTAGCGCTTTTCCTGCTAGGGTTTTGGTGTGTTATACCCTGCGTATACTGTATTGAAACATATTTAACGCAGCATCATTACTGTACGGTGTGTAAAGCTCATCTTGGCAGTAATCAGAAGTGGTAGTGCCGCCATCCGCTTTTCACTGAATAAAAACCTGAGACACCAGTGATAAGGAATCAGTCTACACGAGACAGCATTTGAGAGTGGTACGATGGCAACCGATAAATTGAAAGAAGTCGTTATTGACATACAAGGGCTAGTAGGGCCTAAAGAGAGTTTTGTAGTTAAAGAAATTGCCATATTCTCAGTTGAGGGGAATCATACGGGTCATTGGCTAGTTGCACCGCCCTACGGACAAATCGAATTGGATTTTGATGCTCGTCGACAAAATCTATGGTTAAGTACGAATTTCCACTGCTTAGAATGGGATTATGGTGACACACCATACAAGGCAATCAACCAGATTCTTAAACAAGCAACAAAAAATGTGGCGAGAATCTATGTGCGAGGACGTGAAAAATTGGTATTCTTACAAAGACTTTCATCAAGAACGGTCGTGAATTTGGAAAATTACACCCCCAGTTTTAAGCGTCTACCAGAAAATAAGCGCTTTTGTATGTATCATGCATAAACGAATTCGCATGGGGATTATGTGTGCGCTTGCCACAATGCTGCAAAATTAAGGGCTTGGATCAGACAGAATATTTATACAGGAAAAGTTGTCCTTAAAGAGAGTGATATTAATAAGCTTTGGAACACGGATATATATCGCATTTCTCAAGTAACAGGTCATGAATTGAGTAGTGACGAAGACGAGGACGATAGTTATGATATTTCTGATAGCGATAGCTGTACCGAAGATAGCAGTGGTGACGTCAAGCTAACACCCCCACCGGTACCGACAAGATTTCCAAAGCCGGGGCAAGACGTTTGTGGA